TTAATTAATTTAAACTGCCAAAATGTAAACAAATTCAAAAGTGTCAATTGTTAAACTATTTCAGTTTATTGCAATTAAATTAATTTAATAATTAATACACTAAAGTTTTCCTTCAAAATGATTAATACTTTTAATTTTTTCGTTTTTTTTTTTAAAAAAAAAATATTTACTACATTGAATAATTTAAATGTTTATACAGAACAAAATGAAATGAATCGGATTAAGAGAGTTTATTCCGGATTACTTACGGATCGTAAGCTTCTCATGCCACATGTTCCAAATTTTAAAAACATATGTGGTTTCGTTGTCCTTTCTTGAGCAAAATTATCCTTAATGCATGCGGAATTGTCCGCTTTTCCTTTCGCATAAATTCGACCTGTTAAAAATTTTATAAATTTATAATTATAAAGAGACAAAATGGAATACAGAAGATTATGAAATTATTTAATTAAAAATAATTATTGATTGATCATAGCGTAACTTTTTTATTATTACTACTATTACTATTATTATTAAGATTATTATTATTGTTATTTTTATTATTACTATTATTTACAATTCATAATTAGTAATTAAACTATTTTATTTGATGTCAAACAAACAAATACTTTTTGATTTAGCAATGATAAAATTAATATAAAAGTAATAACATCGAATTAATTTAATTACAAATGATTCATATTAAAATGAGTAATTAATAATTTTGCCATGGCATTTACTATTTTAATAATCAAATTGAACTGAAAATTATTACCATTGAATATTTTTCGAGTTTTAACAAAAATACGAATTTCTTCATCAAGACATTCGATATCTGGATCACCAATGATATCATTATCAATTGTTATTGCTACCACATAATCCATCACTAGTAACAGTATCTTTAAAATAGAAAAATATTTTGTTTACAATTACAAAATAAACAAAAATGGTAAAGAGATGAAAGGTTGTTTATTTCATTACTTTTTTACAAAGGCTATTATAAACAAAAAATGATAAAAGGGAAAGGGCAATTTTAATAATACTTTTAACAAATACATTTTTAATTAAAATTTATTTATCTTATCCTTTCCTTTTTTTTTTTTTTTTGTTTTTATTAATTTTTATTTTTGTGTTTAATGATATTTCTTCTAAAATTACACGAAAAATTTCATTATTTTTTATTATAAATTTAATTTTATTAATGTTTTATGAATTATTCAAATTTTTTAAAGCTAATTGAGCAAATTATACCGTTGCTAGTAGCATTTGTATGGGAAGAAAATAATTCATCGCCCGTTTTTCATAGTACAATGATTCCGGAAATTTATTTGTTTATTGATATTTCTTCTAAAAATATACGAACCCAATATTTGAAGGTATCCAATGTTATTTCTATTTTTATATATAAAATTATTAATTTCAGTGCTATTTAAAAAAAAAAAAAAAAAAACAAACCAAAAATTTTTAAGATTTTAAATAAAACCAAAATCAAACTATTTTACATAAATTCATTTTTTTTAAGAAATAGTATTAAATAAAAAAAAAAAAAAACAAGTAATTTGTATTTCTTATAAATTTCATTGGCTATTAATTTTAAAATACGTCGTTTTTTTTTTCAACTTAAAAAAAAAAACAAATATTCTTAAAGAAAATTTTTTTTTTTTTACTTTTTATTTCGCTTTTTTTTTAAAGTCAAGTATTTTATAATGAATTACTAAAGATTAAAATTACTCTAACTATTGAAAACGAAAAAAAACTTAGTTATAAATGTTAGCAATTATTGAATTTAATAATTGTCAATGAAATGAATAAATTAAAATATATAAATTCTAGACAGGAAAATAAGAGAGTTAAAAATTAGCAAAAACGATTAGCTAAATTATTTGTTAAAATTAATGGAAATGGACATTAATGATAATTAAGCTAATCATTAAAATATCATGCATAAATAATATTAATTATTTAATTAAAACTATGAATAAAAATGAATCAAAATGGATTTCCAATTTGACAAACCTCTAATGACATATGCAATGGTCATCTATCTGATGAATTATTTATGAAATGATGATCGGATGATAATTATGGAAGTTTGAAAAAGATTTGACAATAGAAACAGGAAGATAGAATAGGATTTATCTTTTCCTGGAAAAATACCGCCTCATCTCATTTCAATCCAAATTATCATCGTCATCCTATCATCCTACCTACTTTTCTTTTCTTTTTTTTTTCACCTCCGCCTCTTACATCATCCATAGATGATGTCTCTCAGAAATGAATCCTCGATAACTATAATTAGAAATTATAGCAAAAAAAAAAAATCAAAAAAGAGAAACCAAAAATCTTTTCATTTTAACATTTGCGCATTACTTTCTTTTAATTTAATTTCATAATAAGAAAAGAAAACAAAAATAACTTTTACAAATTCTTTTTTTTTCTCTTTTACTTTTTAAATTTTAGCAAAAACAAAAGAAAAGAAAAGGCAAGTTTTTTAGATTTTAATTACAAAAATTTAATTTTTAGTATGAATGTTTGGTACAAATATTAGCATGAAATTTTAGTTAAAAATAAAGTTTTGAATAAAATAGAGGAAAAGGTTTTATTAACTTTTTAATGAACATTTCACTCATATTTTATTTGTTTTATTTTATTTCTTTACACAGAAGGGAAATTTAAAACACTGAAGTACTAGAATATTTTAATACAAAAGCATTTAAATATTTTTAATTTGATTTCTAAATTTATCTCAAATGATTTTATCAAATATTTTCTTTTTTTCCATTTTTAGTTTCTCAATTTTCTCAAAAGAAAATCAATTTTCATTTTCTATTTCATTTCCATTTCAAATAACAGTCTGATAGTTTATGTAACAAACATATTTAAATTTACAGTTGTAAATATCTTTTTTAAAAATTACTAAAACTCGAAGTAACTGATTAATCATTTCGAACAGTTCAAGTAATTGAATTCAATAGCTATAGTTTGCAAAATTTTTTGCATTTTTAAGTATTATAATATATTTTTTCAAAAAAGAAAAAACATAAAATATTTTTTTTCACAACAATTTAGCAATTTTATTCAAATTGAATATTACGATAAATTTTTTTGTATAATATTCTAATTAAAGAAATAATTTTGTAATAAAAATATAAATTTCGTAGTTACTTCTATTCTTTTTCTCTCCATTATTTTATAAAATATTAAAGAAATAGTTTAAAAAGTTTCAAAAACATTTTTTTTTAATAGAATATTTTTCCTTTTTTTTGCTACTTTGTTTATCTAAAAAAAAAAAGAAAAATTCAAACATAAAAAAATTACATTTATAAAGCAATCATTAAGAAAAATTATTAATTACTATCGCAAAAAAAAGTGAACCGTACAATTTTTTCGCAATTTTTTTTTTTTTTTAAATTCAAATCATTACTTTTCATTACCAATCAATTTTAATCGCTTCAGTTAATCTTTTCTTAAAATACAAAATAATATATTCGTCTTCTTCTCCTCAATCATTCATATTTCTGCTTACAAAAATACGACCATTTCAGATAATTTAAATAATTTGATAATTGCAATCAATTTATCAATCTACCAATCCACTTCTCACACATCGTCTCATATCATTGCAATTTGAAAAATTTTGATGAAAATTTAGAATTTATTATTTATAATTTTAATTTTGGTTAATTTCTCAAAATTGCTGTTTTGAAAGTTTTTTTAATTTTTTGTTTTATGGGATTGTTTATTTTTAGCATGAATTTGTCGTTTTTTATTTTTATTCATTTGTTTATTTGTTTACATTTTCACTTATTTATTTACTATTTTTTTTTTTTTTGGGAAAAATCAACAAATTTGTTCACTACAAATTTATTGTTCAAAAAATGATATTTCCTGATCACTAATTTCCATAATTCGGTGATTAAAATCATTTCTTCAGATAGTTCCGATATGAAAATTAGTACGTGAATTGATAATGATATAGTTTTTAAATTGTAAATTTCACTATAAATATTAGCATGAGATAGTTTTTTAATTGGATTGAAAAAGAAAGTAATATAGAAAAGTGTAAAGAAAAAAAAGAGTATAACTGCTTCAATTTAAATAATAAATTAAAGAAAAATAAAGTTATTCTAACCCTTTCGAACAGTTTTTTGCATTTCTTCTTTGACTGTAGTGTTTTTTTTTTAAAAAAAAAAAATCGTATTTTTTATTTTCTGAATCAAAAATAGCATTTTAAATAAAAATAAAAAAATATAGTACTTTCGTTTTAAATACTATCTACTTTTTTTTCTTTTTTTTTTTTTTTTTTTTTTTTTCCATTTTTGATGATAAAATTTCAGTTTGAACCTTTAAAACTGCTAAAATCGACACTCATACATGTGCCAGTTGATGCCAAAATTATTGAAAACAATATGGTTCTATGGAATGACATCAAAGTGACATACTTTGTGCGAAAAGCATAACGCAATGATACACTATGTGAACAAAAAGCATCAGAGTTCTATATGAAAAGCACATCAAAATGATATATTCAGAAGGATGTCAAGGTGATATACTTCATATGGAAGTGTATCAAAGTGATGCACTGTGTAAAAAGGGTATCAAAATGAGATACATATTTCGTGGATTAACACCGATATATGGTTACGTAAATATGCATTGGTATAACTGTGAAACTGGATTCATCTATTTAAATTTATGTCACTTTTAAGGCATATATTTAAAGTGTGTGTATGTATATGAAAATTACATATAATCAAGAGTGGAAATCATTAATTACAAATTATAAGAATTTTGTTAGTGAGAAATTTATTTTTAAACTTTTTTTTTTTCCGTTTTTCATCTCAATTTCTCATAAAATTCTACACATTCTTGATTATTTCATCAATTGATAATAACAATTTAAAAAATTTATAACAATTTATGTATCTAAAAGTGTTAATTTATATTTGTTAGAAAGGATTGTTTGATACATCGTTGTTGCAATTCTTTTCATACTCCAATTATTTCTCATAGCATTTTCAATTTTTTCGTCGTATTGATCTGAAAATTTTTTCAAATATTTGTATTTTTCATAATATGAAATTAGAAACGAAAAATTTGTTTCATTCACTAAACCAATCTTTTTTGTTTTCTTCAATTCATATTTAATTTCTTCCTGCTTCATCTTTTTCCCTGTTTCTGTTTCTCTCCCTCTCTCTCTCTCTCGTTTTATATCGGAAAGTCTCGTAATAGAAAATGATTCTTTTGTTTTATTTTTGAATGAAATTTTGAATAAAGTATTTTAAAAATGATAATTTAGTCATTCCATTTCTTCAGAAATATTCTTAACATGAAGGTTTCTATCTTTATTCCTTTCATTCCTCTCATTTTTTTCTCTCTCTCTCTCTCTCATTTTCTCTCTCTTTATTTCCCTTTTTTTTTTTTGTTATAAATTATTAAAATATTCGTTCTCATCCAAAATGCCTTTTTATAGTTTTCTCCTAAATCAAACTACCACCTACTGAGCCAAATAAAATTATCGATTAAAAGAAAAATATTATATTAAATGAACAATAAATTTTATATAGCTATTTTCAAATAAAAACAAAAAACACAAAATTTACTTAATGAACAAATATCTGTTCCAGAAATTTTAAATATTGGAATTGTATTAAATTAAACAATTAACAACAATCTAGCTATGGTAATCAAATACTATTGCACAGCAGTAATTAAATAATTAAAATGCTAATAGTTCTATTGGAATGGTTTCATTTTTTTTTTTCTTCTAACATTGTCTGTTAATTTATTTTCACTTTTGATTTTGTTGAAAAATGCATAAAGCAATAAAGCTAACATATATATATCAAATCTTTTAAACATATAAGATTTTCATTTTTTTTTTCCTTTGATCAAATTAACATTACAGTTTGTTTAAATTGAGTTTTATTGAAAAAGCAATAAGTATGTTCTATTTAATAATACTATATTCTTATCGTTGATTTATTTAAAAGGAAAAATTCAACTAAATAAATTGAAATTTCACTAAAAATTAAACAAATTTCAACTTATTCATAGATGCTGAATTTGTATATTTGAGAATTAGCTGCTTAAAAATTGCCTACCGCGAAATTACTTACTCCAAAAATTGCTTACAGAAAAAATTTACTAATCAGTAATTTTAGAAAGATAAAATCTATCACAATGAAATGAAGTTTAGGCACTTTAAAAAAAAAAAAAAAAAGAAAAAAATTACAAATTGCTTACCTTGTTGGTGTTGATGAAAAAATTCTTGGTAATGAAGTTTTCATCGATTCTCTTAATTCATAAGTTTTTTAATTTAATGAAAATACTTGATAAAGTGTTATCATTACCATTACCACCATCGAAGAAGAACTTTGTGTGAAATTTAACTTATAAAAGAATTTTTAGAAATTTATTTTCTCACACAATTTTGTAAATTATACTTTTGTTCTGTTATTCTTGCATATTATTTCCAATTTAAACGATATGACAAATTTTTAATAATCATTAAAAAAAAAAAAATAATGAAAAAATAAATATATGTGCATGTTAGCAGTTCTGGTTATAGAAAAAAAAAATAAAAATTCAAACATCAATTTGTAAAATTTTTATAATTTATATATAAATTTTTCAAAGAAAGAAAAAATACCAAATAAATTGAATTATTTGAAAAAAAAAAAAAAAAAAAAAAGATTAGAAAACTAACTTTCCAGCTTCATTATAAGCATATTCACCAAAGTTTCGAACAATTACACAAAATGATTGTCCATCTCGTTTATTACAAATTCTGCTAGATTTAGTAGCAATCTAAATTCATTTTTATTATTTCCTTCTTTTCTCTTTTATAAATAAAAAGAAATTTGTTTTACTGTCTCAATTAGATTTAAAATATCAATGAATCAAAAAAAAAAAAAAGAGAAATATGTCACATCAAGACATGTGCAAAATGTATCATCACAATATTTTCTTCCTCTTTGCTCACTATAGCAATTATCATGATCAATACAACACTGATTAACTGATTCTGAAAAAAAGAACAAATTTCATCAATATTTGATAAATTAATTTAAATGATAATAAATTAGCATATCGATCGTTTTTGTTTTTGTTTTCCTCTTTTTTCATTTTTCATTCTGATTGTAGGCTTTTTTTTTTTTTTTACAGAATAGCAGGGGAAAAAAAAAATTTTTAAACATATTTGATGCTACAATCTAATTTGCTGAAAATGTTAGATTTTAAAAAAGTTTAAAATTTATAAAAAATTATTGCTAAAAATATATGCTGCAATGTTTGAAATGATTCATTTTTTTTTTTTCGTTTTCTTCTTTCTCTTTTTAATTAACTAATTATTGTTTGATTTGAATTTAAAAAAAAAAAAAAAAAAAGAAAAAAATGGCAAACTTTTCAATCGTGGACAATCGCGATCAATTTTAGATTCACTGATAAATTTAGTTAAAAAATCAACACCACATTCCCATGTTATCACTTCATTAGCTATATTATCATTATTACCAGCACTGTTATTATAGCTATTTCTTATATCTCCTGCTGAAAAGGAAAAATAAAATAAACAAAAAATAAACAAACAAATAAACAAACATTTGACTAGTTTATTCTCATATTAAATATTTAAAATTTTGGGATGAAACAAGAATTAATCTATTTCATTAATTTTTAGTTACTAATTATTATTCATTTAATTAATTATTTGTTATTTAAATTATTTAAATGCTAGCAACTATTCAGTTTTACAAATTATTTGCCAGAGCTAAACGATAATTCGAAATTTCATTGAAATTTTATTGAATAATAATAAGAAGAGATCAGTTTGATAGACAAATTTACTTTTCTGTGATTTTTTGAACCTCAAAAAGTGATTTATTGATCAAGAAATCACATAATCATGTAAATTATTCAGAAATATTTGATATTATGATCTAATTTTAAAAGATAACTGACCCATAGTAGTAGATCCAACTTTGCCATAAAGAGATAAGTGCGCTTTTGTAGAAGTTTTAAATAATAGCCTGGGGTCAAAGGGCATTGGTCTCCATTCAATGCAGCAAACATAATTGCCATAAATTAATATTATTCCAACAAATAGCAACATAATTAGCTGAACCTTAATCAACCAACTAATTATTTGCATACAGCAATAAAAAAAAAAAATAATTAATTTAAGACTCGAAAAAAGATCTAAAAATTAAAAAATTTACAACAAAGTAAAATTATGCTTAAAATGAAATGAAAAAGTTACTTAGATTAATGCAATCAATATCAAAAAAAAAGAATTAAACAATTAAAATTGATGGAACAGTCAAAGTACTAAAGTATTACATTTTCAATTTCTTATTGCTCTTATTCAATTTTGTAAAATTTTTTAAAATCAAAAAAAAAAAAAAAAAGGGCAATTCTTTTATGAACAATTCGTAATGACAAAATAAAAAAAAAAAAAAAAAAAAAAAGAAAAAAATTAATTGAGAAGCAAATATATATTAGTTATTTTAATTAAGTTCTGATTTCTTTTTTTTTTTTTTTTTCTGTACAAGATAATGTTCGTTTTTTCTTATTTAAATAATTTACTGTAAAATACAACAATAGCAGTTGATTAAATTAAACTAAAATAATATCCAATATGAGTATTAATTGAATTAAATGCAAATTATTAGTAATAATTTATTAACATTGTTCAGAAAATTTTAACCATAACTGGCAAATAATGTTGACATCAATGAAATATAATAGTAATAATTGATCATATCTATTACTTAATTAAATTTTAATTTTCATTTTAAATAATCAAAAGAAAAAGAAAGGTAAATGAATGAAAGAAGAAAGACATAGTAAGGTAATGAGAATGAATGAATGAATGAATGAATGATTGATTGATTGATTGATTGAATTAGTGGTGTCGCATGTGCTATTATTATTATTGTCACAACAACTGTTATTATCATTAATTATCTTAATGAGTTATATCCACAAAAGTATAAAGATTTTTGCATAATTAAACAAGGCTATGAGAAAAGGAAATAGAGAAATTAAATAAATCGATAAATTATTCAATAAATAAGTAGATAAACGAGTAAACAAATAAATAAACAAGTAAACAAATAAATAAACAAGTAAACAAATAAATAAATGGGGAATGTTTGATTTAATAAGCAAATAAATAAACTGAAAAATGAATCTTATAGTAAAGAAAATAAAAAGTATGCAAATAAATAACATTGAAAATTTTACTTTTATGAGTGAATGAAAAGAAATTTTGTTTTGTTTAATTCATTTAAATAAATTATATTAAAATTGAAATGTATGAAATGCTCTCATTTAATAATATTATCAATTTATAATGGTAAATTTCATTTTTGCCTAATTTTTGAATCAGTTATTAGCTAGAAAATTTTATCAAAAGCTAATTAAATTAATTGGTAATAATTATATTATAAAATTATTTTGTTATTATAAATATTAATAATGGATTAACTAAATGGTTCATTGCCAAATTACTATTTAATTTTAATGTAGAATACTGAAGTCAAAATTTCAACAGTTTTCAAATTTATATCTAAATATAAATAATAATATTAGATATTAAAGCGAAAATGCAATCTATGAGGATGTGAAATTTATTCAAAAATTTAAAAAATATCTTTGAAATCTTTGTTTTTTTTTTTTGAATTTGAACAAATTAAAAAACCGATTAAAATGAAAATGGTTTATATGCTATTTTAATAAAATGTTTGAATGATTGACAAAATAATTATACAAAACTTGATTTCAACAAGATGAATGATTGATTGCATCATACTGGTTTATGAGACATTTAAAATGATAGGAACAATTTCAATCAATCAATCAATACTTTTACATAAATATATAAATTCATTCTACCATGAAATGAACTCGCTGAAAAGTTTTAAATTTCAAATTTTTTTCTTACTAATTAGAGCAATAACTTAGCTTAAATTTGTTAAATAATTAGTAAATAACAAATAAATTCAAAATTTAAATGAAAAATTTTCAGCAAATTTTAAAAGAATAAATAGGAATAATTTTTATAAAGAAAAAATGAAAAAAAAAAATATTTAGACAAAAATTAAAAAAAAAAATTTAGAAATTTCATACTACAATCAAAAAAAAAAAAGAATAATTTCCTAAAATAAATTAATAAAAATTTGAAATATGTTTTAGTTTTAATTTATCTAATAAGTTGCATGAAGAATTATTAAAAACTTGTAGCTCTTACTTAAAAACACAAATTAAAAAAAAAAAAAAAAAAGAAAAACAGAAAAATTAATCTGAATTTTTTGGCTTATACAAATTTTATCTTTAATATTCCATCTAATAATCATATCACTAAGATATCATAAAGATATCACACTAAGATTATTTCATTCTTTATCTTTAATATTGTCACAATGTCAACAATATTCAATTGTATCTTTCATATTCACATAAATAATGCATGAAAAATTGAGAAATAAAAAGGAAATGCTTAACATATTTATTTATTTAAAAATTTTTTTTTTAGATTTTCAATTTTATTTCAAATTCTTATTTTTTTTTTAAATTTTATTTTCAATTTACCGTATAAAATTGATCGTTTTCATTCTTTTAAAATATTTTATTAATTTAATAAGTGTCAAATTGCATGCATTAATTAATTGTTATACTATTTTGTAATAAATCTCTCGGAATAATGTTATTATATTATATGTTTAAAAAAGTGAAATGGAAATTTAAAAAGAAAAAATGTCATAAATTAAAATATATAATAAATTTTTTTTAGAAAAAATAAGTTTGATAAAAATTAAATTTAAATGAATTTCTTTAAAAAAATTATAATAAAAAATTATAATCAGCTAACAAAATACTTTCAAATATATGCTAACATTAAATTTGCATATGTATGCCATTTCTATTAAAATTTGAATATTTATTCATTAAAAAAAGGAAGCATTCATAAATTTTTTAAATTTTTTTTAAAAACTTTTTAATGAAAAGTGAAAAAAAAAAATGAGTACAGAACAATATTTTATTCGATTGAATAATTTTTTCTTTAAATCAAAAAACAAACTTATTTTATATTCCTTATTTAAGTTCTTAAGTTTTGACTGTACCCGCAAAAAAATAAAAAAAAAAAAAAATTGAAAATTTTTTTTTAGAACCATAATGAAATAATAAATGAAATAATAATGAAATAATTATGTATAATAAAAAACTTTTTGCTTTTACTATAATATTTGCTAGTTTTCTTTTTTTTTTTGTTTTATGTGTTTTATTTTAAAATTTAGAAATTATCTTTTTAATATTTAATTATATTTACAACAATTTTTTTTTATTTTTTTTTGAATTTTCAAATATATCATTAATTTTTATTCTATATTTTCAATTTTAGAACGAATTTTTTCTTTTTCAATGGAAGTAAAATTGTAACAAGAAAATAAAAGGAAAAAATAAAAGAAAAAAACCGGTGATTGAGCAGAAATCGAAATAATTACGATGAATTTTGGTAAATTGGTATGGGAAATGTTTGGGTTCATCACAATTTCTAAATGTCACACCATAATCTTCAACCTTTAACAGTCATTATCATTGATCATACAATTTATTTTTCAGTGAAAAAAAAAAAAAAATAAAAAAGAAAAATAGGATAAATTCTTTTCCATTTCTAATAATAGATTTCTATTAAAATTTAAAATCTACAATTGGAAATTTAAATTTTAGAGTTAAATATGCCATTATATTATAGGAGGAAAATATGTAACATTAAAAATTACATTATCAAATAATTTCGTGCATTCTTGTATCTTTTTTTTTTGAAAAAGTAATTAATTATTTAAAAGAATTTATTTTAATAAATACTATTAATGAATTATTTTTATCACAATTGATAATGATTAATGTATGTTTCACGTACGTGAAATGCTAAAAAAAAAAACTTTGATGAATTATTAAAAATGTTTCCTTTTCTTCGTCCCATTTCTTAGTTTAATTTGTAGCGTTTTTATGTTTTACTTTATTTTAAATATTAATTTGATATTTTCATCTTTTACATAAAAAAGTTGCAATTCACGTCAGCAATATTCAAAATGTAATTTTGTTCTTTTAATAAGTCTCTTCCCATTATTTCATTGATAAAATTGATAAGAAAAAGAAAAAATGAAAAATATTTGCAATTTTAAATTATTAAATTAATCCAACAAATCTTTTTTTTTTTTCCAAGCAGAACAAATTAGCAAAAGTTTCTGTTTTATTGTTATAAACAAAAAACATACAAAAAAATACTTCAACTAAGCCAAAAGTGAATAATAATTAATCATTTGAAAATAACAATCGAAAAAAAAAACAAAAAAAAAAAAAAAAAAAACATAATTGTGCTTGAAAAAATGCAAATTTTTGAAGATAAATAATTGAAAATATGTTTGCATGAAAAAATTAAACCAAAAATTACAAAACATTTCTATGAATTATTACAACAATGTGACAATTTTGTGTCACACTCATAATTTTATTATATATTTACCAAAAATATTTCGTAAACAAACCTGGGAAACAGAACTCTGCAATAATAAAAAGCAAATATTTTTCAAAAAAACAAAAATAGCTTTTATACTGGATGATTAGAAAAGTCAGATGATTTTTCCAAGAAAAACATATGAGGTAAAAATTTTCAATTTAATTTATATAAGTTTTGTGAAATGTTGAATTTAGTAAATATACGATTCGATGGCTATGAATGCTAAAGGCATAAATTATTTTTGAAAAAAAAAAAAAACATTCATAATTGTTAATTACAACACTATGAATAAAAACATACAACATTCACTTTAAAATTTACTGAAATCTTGATATTAATTAATCATTTGAAAATAATTGATAATAAAATACAATTAAAGCTGCTTAAAAAAATACAAACATCAATTGCAATATTTTAATCACTAATTTTTAACACTTCAAAAATTTTCAAAAATGTACTCAGAACTATTAATTCTTTAATACATCCATGATAATTAACCACCACCATAAAGCTTTCATTCCGTCCATTTATTAAACCAATTGTAAATTTATTTTAAATTATCAAAATATCCTGTGAATTGTACAAATATTTATTGCTAACTAACAAAATTATATTTGTTATAACAACAAATATTCATTATCTATTAGAATTTCTTAACAACTACTGTTGAAAAAGAGAAAAAAATAATAAAAATGGAAGGAAAATGTTTACCGCAAGAAAGGAAAAAGTTTACTGAAAAAAAAAAAAAACTTTCAAATCAATCAAGAAATTCTAATTACAACACTACTTCCTTTTTTGCTACATTTTAAAAAGCAGGCAAAAAATTCATGTTGACGCATTAAGGTAAAAGAAATTTTATGAATCATAACCGAGTGAGTGATGAGTGAAAATCATGCAGTAATAGTTTTGCCAACATATTTATTAAATTAAACTTAAAAAAGAAAATTAAAACTTAATCCTTAAATACTATGCTTTAAATATGCTAAAATATATTTTGAAGCATACATACCTCCTCATATTTAGTTGTCTAACTTGAAATGTAATACAAATATAAGGATTAAAATAAACTAATTATTTATCAATATCATAAAGCATACAAAGTTTGTAAAATAGATAATTGATTTTCGCTCACTGTATAACGTTCCACCATTTTTCTTATCACTGAAAAAAAAAATTAATTAGTTAACACAATAATTTCATATAATAATGAAATAGCGAATTAAAGATAATTTAATAATCAATGAAAATAGTATAATCCGTTTAATGTAAATGGTCCAAGACTAAAAATCTTTTAGGGATTTTCCTAATGTAGATAAGGTGAAAAGTTATCATAATGAGAAGGATATCAAAATAGGAATACGAAATCGTAAATAAGTCTGAAATTCGTAAATTGAAAGAAGATAGTAATTCCAAAAGAGACAAATGCAATTCTATTTGATACCATCAAATTTTAAGCTAATCTGTCATAAAACTGAAGTAAAAAAGATAAATGAATCGGATGCATCAGAAGAGGATATCAGTAAAACAAATGAAGAGAAAAAGAAAAGAAAAAAGCAATAAGATAGTTTTCTGAAAATTTATTTCTCAATTTTAATTTCATTGATTAAGACCCTTATGCACTTGTTTTTCGAAAAAGTTTAGTCATATTTCGAAAAAAATTCAATAACTCCTTCGCTAGACATTAATTTCATATCTAATTAATTGAAAAATTTTTTCGTACTATCAACTTGGATGAAAGAATATTTCATTATGGCAATTGTATAATAAAGCTACGCAGATAATTCATTTTAAAATATTATCATATTTAACTGACCTGTTTAATTCTCAGCACCAAAAGAAGTTAAAAAAATTCAATGTATTAATACTGTTATTGATTGAGAACACAAAAAAAAAAAACAAAAAACTGACTATCCTTTGCAGCTTCATCCAAAAATAATACAGCGATATCAAATCGGGAAACATCAGCTAATTTAATCAAACATTCTAACAGTTCCGAAATATTTGATTGATTAGCTAGAATATCGAAACCAACGAATAAGCACTTGATCATTTCAGTTTCAATCACTTCATCCAATAAATCGCCATAATTATTCTTATCAATTGACTAAATAATAATAATAACTGAACAATAGTAATAATAATAAGAAGTTTCAGATTTACTCAAGAAAAAAAAAAAAATTAAGAAACCGTTCTATTCACATATTGATTGGTTTCAGTATTAATTTTCAATAAATTCAAAAAAATAATGAACAATAAAAATATGTGATATTAAACGAGAAATAAAAAAAAAAGTAAAAACATTTTTGATGATAACGATGAAGAGTAATTCTGAAGTAATAGCTAAAGAACAAATCAAAATGAGTGCCGGAAATAGGAAAAATTGTAAATAATAGCTTACCAAGAAATATTCAGCAAATGCCACCGGCCTACTCTTAAGCCTTTGAAAAACTGAGATAAAAATGAATGATGTCGTTGGAGGAGGCGGAATTTTCATTGATGATAATTCCTGATTTAGAGAATGAGCAATTATTGCTAGGAAAAATCGCAACGTATAAAAATTAAAGTTCAGTCTATTAGATTGAAAATGCAATTATATGACAGCTCATTAAATTAAAAAAAAAATACATATATATATATATATAATTAAAGTATTAAGGTTTCATGCCAAGTACTCAATAGCTTGCAACAAATAAATAAAAAGAATTATGCAAAAAAAGAGAAAAAAAAAAAAAAAAACAAAAACGAAGAATCATTTTAAACAATAATTTTGAAAATTAAATTATTTACCGGTGATGATATGTGTAATTTATCTTGAATTATTTGTTCGGCCAATTCCATTCTCCCTATCGTTTTAATATTTTTAATTTCAGTTAGTGGCAATTTTGAACGAAGGAATTCATCCTTTTCACCACATGATAACTTCACTTCTACACAATTCGTCTTTGAAATAAATTTATAAAAATAAGAAACGAAATTCGGCATTTTTTTGAAACGATGAATTGGAAGATGTCAAAAAATTCAATTCAAATGTGAATAATATTTGATAAAAATTTATTTCATAAAATTTAATCGATTTTTTCAAGAATATTTGGACAAATAGTTAGATAGATAGCTATATATATGATGCATCCTAGCACAACAGACAGATTAAAAAATTAAAAACTAAAAAATGAAATTTTTGTAAAATTTCTTAACAAATACCTTGTCTTGAACATGCTGCTTCAGCTTTGCAATTTCTTTATTTTTTGGATTGTTTAAATCAATTTTTGAAATCTTTTCAGCTGCGATTTCATACAAGTGCAAATTTTCTAACGCTTTCGCATATCTGTGAATAAAGCTTCAACTTATTATACTAATAATAGCAACTATTTTCATTTATTCTGCTCCTTAATATGGCCATTCATTATCTTACCCATCAATATAGGAGAGTTACCTAATAAATTTCTCGCTCTACTTAACAAGTTATGAAAAAGAGACTATTTCAACAAAATTAAATCATGATACTTTGTATTACTTCAAACTACTACATAAGAATCTAAAAAGTGACTGAGACATAACAAAAAAAAAAGAGCATTGTCGTATCATAATGTTAACATCACTAATACATTAGGTTAAAGGATTATATGTTTTAAATTTTAAAAGATTAAATTCCAAAAATAAAAAAGTGAAGTTTTACCTAAATATTGCCTTTACGTTATTTGCATCCAATTCTAAAGCTCTCGCAGAATCCATTAAAGCTCGTTCGTATCTATAAAAGTTAATTTTTATAAGGTTACAGTAATATCTATCTAATAATTCTAATGAAATACATATCTTCAAGATTCTCGTAAACAATCATTCCTAATATGACAGTAAAAGAGATAACTTTAAAAGAGACATGATATTAACAATGCTATAGTCAAACCATTTGAAAATTGATAAATCTAATCGATCAAAACAATAAAGTAATTTACTCATAAACTTAATCTAAAATTTGAAAAGTTGAAATTACCACTACAGTTTCTTCGCCAAAACCAATGTGATTTAAAGTGGAAGAATGCTTTTTAAATCTTAAATGTTATTAATTACGATAATTGTGCATATTTTTTCACTTCAATCTACGATTAATTCATTTGCTTACACTTTAAATCTCGAGCTACTTTATAAATATAGCATCTTCATCCTTTTTTAATAATTATAATTATCCGAACCTTCTTTCTGTGAATGCAAAGAGCAAAAACATAAGAAACAATTTCATGCAAAACTGTCAATAAATTTTAAAATATAAAAAAGAAAAACAAAGCAAAGAATATACTGTTTGATATTGAGATAAGCTTGAGCTCTATTAGCTAGTACTGATGATGTTTCCTGACATTCCAATGAACTTGTATAACTCTTGATAGCATTATGATAACGAAATGAGCGAAAATGTTCATTGCCTTCGAGACGATGCCGTTCTGCTTCTGCTTTGTTCGTTGTTAAATCGATTTCTGTCATTTCAATAATTCAAAAGTTGTTCTAAAATTGAAATTATTAAAATTAAATGTATTTAAGCAATAATAAACGTATTTTTGGACAAATATTAATATCCAAACAATCGATAATCGAATATATTCAATACTAATCCCAATCAGTTCTAAAATAATAGCTTATAAGTAAAGTTAGAAGTCAGAACGAAAGTAAAGTTAGAACGAAAGAGGCAATTTATGATTCAGTTAGAATTCGGTAAAAAAAAAAACTCTATGATTAAGGGTTACATTTAAAATTATCAACATGTCAATAATTTCATTGTAATTTTATACTAAAAAAAGAAATTTACTAAAAATTTGCTTTTCAAATCACACCTATTCAATTTAGAAATAACATAGCAAATCCTTCATGCTCAAAAACAAAATTCATTCAACAAAATTTAAGTAATTTAGCAAACTAGTTCATTTCCTAAAACTATTTATGCAAATCGAACCGGAATTTATCGGTGGAAAGAATGAGATTTTATTGATAAACAATTTATAGGCTTTGCAACCGTTTTATTATAATATTTATATGATAGAAGAAATAAAAATTTTATGTTTATTAAAAAATATATGATATTAAAGTCAGAAAAATTGAAGCAATCCTAAAAATAACCCGTTTTTTTTTTCTTTTACACCAAAATCGTACATAAAACGGTAATTACGAGAAATTTCAATTTCTAGAAGAATATATAAGTTAATGCTAGAGTTTACAATTTCAGCAAGAAGATATTGACGTGAAATATTACGCGAATCAACAGATCAACATAAACAGACTGATAATGATGATATAATAACGTAAAAGATTAAGAATAGAAAAGTAATAAAAACTAAATTTTCTTGAAATTAAATTTAAATTAGAGCTATAAGACTTGAATTATACCAAAATTACATTACAAAATGAAAGAAATAAGTAACAAAAGAATAACAACAAATGAGTTCACTATTTTCGACTGAAAAAAATCCCAAAATTACCACATTTAAATCATTAATAAAAATGAAAGGTTCAAAGTTTTTCATAAATTTGTATTCCTTTAACAATTTGCAAAAGTTATAGAAAAAGTTATAAAAATATGCTATACAACAATAATTTATATAAAATTACTAAAAACATTAGTGTAAAGTCACTTTTGAATTTAGCCATATCAGACTACAGCATCAGCCAAAAATTAATTGATCGAATTACCCGTCATACCATCCTATATAATACATTCACCGATTAGAGTAAAACCAATAAAATAATACCACCATTACACTCATATAAAATTTAAGTGCAATTTAGCTGTTCGATAATCCATCCGAAGTTGTATGAAACTATTAATCATTCTTCGATCAGTATCAATCTATAAAAAATGTTAAATAAAATTTATCATTAATGCACGGAAAGACTTTTTTTTCTCCAAATACTTCCAAACTCTTTGCAAACTAACCAATAGTTGCGATGAACAAGCTTCGTTTAAATTCTCAGGCACAACAACCAATAAATTTGCAAGCGCATGTAAAGCTTCAAATTGTTTGCCAACTTCAGGAATTTTCCAACTCAGTATGCATTTTCTGGAATAAGCATCAGTTGTTTTAAATTCGTATCATAAATTTTATATTTAAAAACAAGAAAAGTTTTTTTGTTTTTTTGAAAGTAATTTTACAACATCGAATTAATAAATGACAATCTGATAAAGTGTAGATTACACATACCATTAATAATAAAAACTTTCACCAAGAAATGATTATTAAATAATGTTCGAATGTAATATCATCACTGCTAGAAAGCTCAATGAAATATCCAAAAAAATTTAGCTTGTCACTGAATTTTCATTTCCAATACCACAGCAGTTTTTAGTAGTTCTACAAAAAAGAGAAAAAAAAAAAGAACTCACCTGTATTCGTTGATATCACATAACAAAAGCATAGCTCCTTGAGAATTATATGTAAATTGATATATATGTGTTAAAAGAACTTTGTAGAAACGACGACCAAATTCTAGCATCAGAGTCATCAAATTACCACCATCAAGACTGTCACGTATCACCTGTACTTCTGCACTTAAGTATTTGACAACAAGAGCACAAGCCTAAAAAATTCAAAGCATTCGAAAATTATGAAGAGAAGGAAGAAATGACAAAAAAAAAGATAGGTATGATGGAAAGATCAAACTAAATGTGAGAAGGATTTTCATTGACACATAAACTGTCAAAAATTTTAAATCACTTTTTCCGTTAAATTAGATTTTGAAAAAAAAAAAACTGCGGTAATCATATTGTATCACCTAGTTAGTTTAGTTAATTTTTTACATTCTTTTGACGAAAATCCTCAATATATATATATCACAAGAATGAAACTAACATTGGACATGGCTGTCACCATTTGATTTTCATCTTCAGGACGAAAATCTGTCTTCTTTTGTTCATTCGTCAACAAAAAACGTATGTAACCAACTACTGCATTAATCTGTCGCTCAAGCCCAAGATTTATACGATTTTCAACATTACGTAAACAATCAACACGTTTCCTTGTACAAATATCTTCAACAGGAGTTTCACTATAAAATAAATTCTTTGTTATTAAATTACTATACTGAAGGAGAGTTGAAATTCAGATCGCAAATTTTTAAAGTGCTTCAAATATAACAAGTACTGATATTTTGATTTAGAAAAGATATGAATTGAAAATACCTGACAAATGGGAAGATGGAATCATCGTACTGCTTGTGGAATAGATGCGTAATAGCTACAGCTTGTTGCACAACAGAAAAAAAGTAATTAGGAGGCTCAGTTTTTGGTTCAGCTAATGATATTCCTAAAAAATAACGATTATCATTAAAGTGCAAAAAAATGATAGATAATCTTTTAAAAATGATGAAAATGAGAAAAAGTCTTGATTTTTAATGCACATACCCGCAAGTGAAAGATCAATTGCATAATCTAAATGTTCTGTATATAAAAATCGCAAAAGTACATCAAATATTGTTTCAGTCATTTTTGGCGCTTCATCTTTATCACATAACTAAAACTATACACAAATTCAGAATTAAAACGCAGAAATAAAAATATAATTGTAAAAATCATTATGTTATGCATTTATTTGCATCCAAGATCACAAGAGGATAATAATGCACTGAAATCAGAATCTATAAACATGCAAAAATTCGCTCTCTTTTCATAAACAAATTATCAGATATTTTTGAAATGATAAGTTTTACCAGTTGGCAGCGCTGAAAGGCATTCTTCGTTTCTTGAAGTATGTTAATAGCTACTTCTTCCGATAGAAATGTTTCACCACCATATGTTTCCACATTCAATAATCTTGCTTGAATATCGCGCTTCAAGTCTTGCAACCTAATTTCAGAGATATTTTATACATGAAAAATTTACTTCATAAAATAAATTAGAAAAAACTCCTCTAAATTATTTAATTCGACTAATTTTTCAAATTTAGTTTGAAAAAATTGATGAATGAACGGCACAAGACTTTTTTTTTTTTTTTTTGATCCTAAAAAGCACCAAATGACTAACAAGAATGACAAATTACTCACCCTCCACTTTGGATTTGTTTCTTTTGATGATTTTTTGACTCATAAAACCGACTCAAAATAGCGCCACATTGTTCTATCAGAAATTGCCTCTCAATTCTGAAGAGATTAATGAGGGAATAAATGCTTGACATCGATATTTATAGTGATACGTTGCTAAGAAGGAAAAGAAATTTAACAAAGCTATAAATGAGTTTTTTTTAAAAAAAAATAATCCTTCCACATCATCTCCACAATAATCATCAATCAAAATTAAAAAAGATAAAAATTTGACTTAATTAAATTATTGCAGCGTAGAAATGAAAAGGGAGAGAAAAAAAAAACATGAAAAAATGTGTCATTTTCGGGAAAGAAAAAAATTTACGCTGGTTGATCTAATTCACATGGTGACAATCACTGAACACTTTCTAACAATCGCATTTAAAAAAAATCTTTTTTTTTTGAGAAATATCCAATAAATACGTTTCCCGACTGCACTGAATAAACAAATAACCCTATTCAAAAAGAAAAAGAAAAAGTCGAGAAAAACTTGAAAATAAAACGAAGACATACGTAGGATACGCTTCTAAATAACGACCGAACACAGACCGCACCAATGTATCCATAAACTGCAGATCAGTTCCAGTAATCCGCAATGCAACTAAATTTGATACCAATTTTTGCGTTCTGAAAAATTTACTTATAACCAAATGCTGTTAAAAAAAAAGGATCACAAAATTCCGAATTATTTTGAATAAAAACAAACCTCGAATAGAGATCATATACTGATGTCAAATAAGCTTCTAAATCATTTTCAGAATCGCTTAATTTCGTTGCTATGACTTCCTGCAAATTACAAAAATCTTCTAAATAAACTTCTTTCATCATTCGGAATAGAGTGATTGATTAATAATGATAGTTAAAGCGATACTGAGAAAGAATAGAAATAATTTCTACACCGTCCTAAAATCAATGATTTATGTAATTCTTTCAAAATATGTGAAAATTATTTAATTTAAGCAGTTAATAAATATTTACCTGTAATTTCCCGTGAAATAAATTCAAAACCAACTTCGACATTACTTGGTCAGGATTTGGGAAGATCTCTTTCAACATCGGTTGTGTTTTCTGACAAAGTGATAAAATATCATCAAAAACGCTGTCACCGCGAAAAGCATTAATCTGCATATGTTCAACGAAAGCATCCAGACACTGCGAATAACCCTAAACTTTCAGCTTAGTGCTTCATTAACTTTTGAATAAAGATGTCATTCAATAAAATTGAAATACGTTCGGAATTTCAAATCATGAATTTTTAAATGCTTTACAGGCCAACATTTTAAAAATCCTCCGATGTATCTCGTTCTAATACCAATATCAGTTCTGTATTACCAAAAAAAACGAAAATGTTCGTGTTTCAAAAGATACCCCTAGCACAATAATCAAACACAAATAAATTAAATCAAAAGTGCAATTTAAAAAAGTTGCCAATTCCTGGAGAACAAATGACAATTTCTGAATTATGGCAGCGGATTCTAGCAAAAGTTACTTTGAAATCAGCCAAAATAACAGCTATTTCATGCATTCTACGCCAATTACCCTGTCGATGGGCTCGCACAAATTCTTCCAACATTAATCGTTCGATTTCGTCGTACTTGTGAGCAATTCTAATCTGTACATTGCTATATTTATCTTTTGCCAATTCCTGAGAAATAGATGACAACTTCTGGATCATAGCAGCAGATTCCAATAACTGAAAATTTGAAGTTACCTTTAATGTAATATAAGTGAAGAATTCATATAACTAACATTGTTTATTTCCGTTATACTTTCAGACGATGATAAAAACATACCCTATCTGGATCAGTGAAGATATCAGAACTTAAAGGCTGATCTGCTAAAAATTCATCGAAATGCTTCATTAGTTGTAGAGCTTCATTAGCACGAGCACGTGGCAAATGAACACTTTCTAGCTGATCACCCAAATGTACCACTTTAGTTGAAACTGTTTGCATCGTATTGTCTAACTGCTGTAAAGCAAGAACTTCCATTTCAAATCGGTTAAAATTAATATATTTAAAACAAATACACAATTTTAAAATAGATAAAATAAAAGTGACTTTATTATATAGCTGTATTCAGCATGAGATTATTGCATAAACAGAAACTCGATTTTAATGAGACATATTATTTTTACAAATTCAAAATTTAAAAATTTTTTTAAAACCTTTAATTTATCCATAGCATCAGCATTCTGTTCATGAAGTTTATGCAAAACGTTTAAATATTCACGTTTGTCATTGTTACACTGCTGTTCCAATGAACTTATCTTCGACTATAATAGCTTCAACATTTTAGCGCTGCTACAAAGTTTTAGATTATATCATCCAGACTTTAATCATTTGTCATATCCCTATTTATTGTGAATGTTTAATAGCACTAAGGCCTAAAAATTTTAGAAATTCTCAATTTTGGAATTTCGAGGAAGAGAAATAAAAAATGTGTTACTTGAAATTGATCGCTTAACATTTGCAAATTGCCAATTTCTTCTTCAAATTTCGTTTTCAAATCCGTAACATCGATGTCATCTTTGCCTCCAGTTAAACGCCAGGCCAAACGTTCCACAAAATCAATGGCATCAAAAGGTTCCTAAAAAAAAAAAAAAAAACGATTTACAATACATTTTATTTATTGATATGGTATTTTTAACTTTTTTGTTTTGCTAAGAATAAACTACTTCCTTCCCAAAATCTAGTAGATAAAAAGTTCACATTATATTCCTCAGCAAAGAGGTCACATTAAAATTTTCAGCTTGTCATTTTCTCAGAATGGCAAATAACGAAAAGTAAATTTTTCTGGAAATTATCTTTCAAATGCTATGTTTTTTTTTTTTTTTTTTTTAAATATAAATCTACTTACCTGTTCCAAATCTTCAACATAAGTCGAAAAATACTGATTCGTCATCGCTTTAACTCTTTTTTATACTTTCAATCAGTGAAAGCGATACAACTTATTTCTATTTGATAAGGACAATATATTCTGAAAAGAAACAATTCGTTTTTATCATTGCAAAATGATTATAAAAACGTTTTATAAATTCGGTGATAAAAACAATGTTCAATAAGATGCATTAATAATTATCCATAAACAATAACATTTTTCTTCCCATTACTGTAACAAAGCGAAGAAGAGTTGTGTGAAGTGCACAACGGGAAACATTTACAGAATTATAAGTTATAAATTTTTCGAATTTAGAATTTACAAAATGAAAGAAAAGAAATTTAATGTAAAGTACAAAAAAGTAAATATTAACAAATAAACACATACATAATAAATTTAAGTAAACATAAACATACTTATATATTCGTAACCATATAAATGTATGAAATCTGTGTACATATAAAAACTGTGAAAAGAAAAAATGAAACATATAAAAATATTTTAAAAAAGAAACAAAAAAACTTGGAATGCTTGGAACTTTTTTCTTTGGTTTTTCATTAGTGAATGGGAAAAAAGTGTCAAAATAAAAAAAAAAAATGAAAAAAGGAAAACTTAATAAATCATTTGTATCTATAATTTTCACTAAATAATAATAGCACACTCTTTCCTTTTTCTCTTTTCCTATGATATTTTACATTCCGATCCATATGTATTACATAGTCTCTCTATCACTGTCACATCATCATTCTCAATCACTGCTACAGTTATAATAACGTGATCACTAGTCTATTTTCTCAATCTCTAACACAATACACTCTCCTCAAACTAACCTTATTTCTCTTCCCATTGCCTCTTTTCCCAGTAATCTTCATGCCAATGGGTTTGAACTCATTTAGCTATAAAGGTGTTTGTTTGTTTGAATTCGCGCATGGAACATGTCTTTGTTTCTCTGTTTACATAGCTTTCTTGTAATGACCAGTTTTCCGGTTCCGGTTTGTATTTTATGCAGTGGAGATGCAGAAATGCTTATATTTTATGATTTTAGCATAGAAAATGAATAAAGCAGAACATTATGATAATATAGATTATGATTTAAGGGATCGATTTGATAAAAGATTTTTGAAAACATTTTCATGTTTTTTTTTTTTTTTTTATATACGAATTTAAGTCTACTAGAAATGATGAATTCCTTTTATTCTATTCATCGCATTCAAGATATTCATTATCAATAATTAAAAAACGAATTAGGCGAGGATGAAATAACTTATAATGCTGTGATTTATAATTAATGTTTATATTTCAAAATATGGAAGAAAAAAATATATATACAATCATTTGATATTCGGGAAAGCTTTCCCTAAAATGTTAATGAAATTTTTGATGACATTTGCAAGTGATAAAATTAACAAAGAAAGAAAACTTGGGAGGAAAATATTGAAAGCAAATAATCAAAACAGATTTCTTGCAAATAATGAATATATATCATAGTTGATTAGTCATACTTCGAGGATTTTTTTACATTTCACAAATTATTATGATAAATCTACCAGGCAGAACCAACATTTCGAGAAGTAGTTACGTAGAGTTTCCTCTCGAACTTTTGCGAAGCTTTGATTAAATTTTATCATTCCACTTATCATCCCGATGGTCCGTGGATCAATGTATATTTAATTTTTACCGTACTGATAAGAAGTATAGTAGCGAGTGTATAAAGTCAAATATGTGTTATTTAAATTGCTTACATGTCCTTATTTCTTCCCCTTTTCTGTAATATTCCAAACCTAATTGCTAGTTATCATAAATGATAGCAGATAAAAATTCATTAGCTAATATTAATCTGGCATATCTTTCGCTTTTATTGTTCCTGTTGATAATAAATACATTAGTAATATTAATAATTCCGTACTCCTCAGGTTTTCGTCTAAATTTTGTCATAAATTTAATTAAATAAAAATTATGTGTACATAATGTTTGTTATCTATTAACAGTATCTGTTACGGAATTTGAGAAATCTTTATTCCTTCTTTTTTTTTGTTATTTTTTAATTTTGAATTCGGAATTTCTACAGAAATTATTGTTAATTATTTTTTTCAGTGCTTGGTGTCAATTGTATATATACATATATACGTATATTTATATAAATATATATGTATATGATTGTACTAGTACTGGTAGTTCTAAAGTACGTGTAACTAACGTATAATGCAAATGATTGATAAACTAATATCGCTAACGCGTGCATCTAACTGGGATGAAGTGGAGCATATTCTGGTGGATTACTGGACACAGCAATGTCCACTTATTTGTGCACCAACCGAAGATCCATCATTTGATTTTAAAATCGATGACAATACATTCAGTAAGTCTTTTTTTTTTTTTCTTTTTTCATCTAGTTATGATTATCATTTATCAGTTTGAGTATTAATGGATGATCGCTTGAGATAATTTTTTGTCACCTATTAATGTTGGATTATTTATGAGTTTGTTGTCTTATTATTTTAAATACTGATAAGTGATGAACGGTTTTTTTTGGCTTTTTACTCATTTGTATTGATAAAGGAGTGTTATGTAAACAAATAGCTTTGTTATGCTACAATTATGCTTTTGGATTATTGCTTATACCGTACTCTTATCCGACGGAGTGGGAAAAGATGGAGAAGATCAAGTGACCGAAAAAAAAAAACCAAGAAAAATCAGTTCCCAAAATTTTTTTAAATATGCGAATTTAATCTTTAAAATGCAACAGTTTACTAAAAAAATGTCAAGGTAAATTTTGAAGCAACAATATGCTCAAAAAAGTTATTTAATAGTATCAGTTATTTTGAAAGTTGACAGGCTAGATGATCTGAAATGCTCAGCTGTCAAATTTTTTGTTGTCTTCAGTTCTTTGCATTTGAATATTTTGAGGATTTTCGGAAATATAACTGATATTTACAAAATTTAAGTCCTGCAGTCAGTTAATGTGGAGATTAATCGATGCGGCTTTGGTAGTTTGAATAAATTGAACTTTCATTCTTTCGTTGCCTGGACTTTACACTACTTAATGTTTAGAATTTATTTTGCAAATATATTGCAACGAATGATGTATATAAAAACGAAAAAAAAAAAACGGATAACATAATTGTTTATAAAAAACATGATCCGGTCAATTTCTCTAAAAAAAAGATAACAATTGTTTTGTTAGCATGGTCCTTTTGAAAAATTGTCAGTTTTTTCTTCAAAAATTGGAAAAGCACCAATTCTTTGAAAAAAAAAAAGTAAATGGTTTATCTAATTAATATATTTTTTTCTTTGACACACATTACTTTATTATAGTTATTGCTTATCATTAAGAGTTTAAACTTCTAGAAACTTTTCCTTATTTATTGGTATTTTTTTTTCAAATAAGATAATTTTACGATACTTAACATTTTTATAGAAACAATTCAACACGTTATTGCTTGTTGAAGTTTTTTTTTTTTTTTTTACACTGAAATATGTATTATAGAGTATGATTTCTTGTATGGAATGGAAATGTTTATATATATATATTTTAGACGAAAAATTACTTCACCCTACTGCTTGTGCATATTGCTTGGATAAAAATGTTGGAACGGATTTAATGCCACTCAATGCATCATACGGGTCGAAATCAAGTGCAAATCGTCGAAGTGCTTACTGTGGACATGTTTTTAGAGGTGGAGAAGCAACATATTCATGCAAGTTCGTTAATTAAATACACTTTGAGTTTTTCTTTTTTTTTCAAATGAAATATCACAAAATTTTTTTGTTTTAGTATGATAATATGAAGAAGAGAGCAAAAGTATGCTAGATATTTCCTGGACGTAAACTTATAATTTAAAATATTTTCATGAATTGTGTTAGTTCTTTTTTTCTTTCAGAGAATGTGCTTGTGATCCTACATGCGTTATATGTTATCAGTGCTTTTTAAACTCTGCTCATAAATCACACAAATACAGAGTAAGTTGATTTTTTGAATGCTTTCCAAAGAGATTAGATTTTCATTTCAGAATTCTCTACAGATGTAGTAAATTTCTTCTACCGATATATCGTATTTCTTTTCTGTATTTTACATAGTAAATAATAATTTTCACTTCATTTTACAATGTTAAAAATATTGTAAAATAAGTATTAAAAACAAAAATGAGTACTTTTGAGATGTGTGCATCCAATGGAAATGGTTGTTGTGATTGTGGCGATGTAGAAGCTTGGAAAGAGCATCCAGCATGCAAATTACATGAAGTAGGACAAAATGAGGAACAGGATTCGGAGTAATTTATAACATTATTATTTCTCTTAAGTTTACTGCTAATATAGCGTTAAGTCCATTCAGTGGTTATGCTTATTCATCAGATTACTGATTTCAGAAGTAACATTGATTTTTTTTACTACATGGCACTATTAATTATGTAAAAATATGCTTTGATATACTATGCTCCAGCAAATGTCGGTTATAGTGATGCACTTTCCATAGATAAATCAGTTGAAGAAAGAAGTTATTAATGCAAATGATTTCTTTTTCTCGATTAACAATATGCTTATTTAATAGTGTATATCTCCTTTTTTTTTTCTTTTTAGGATAGCTGATGTACCAGCAGAAATTACAGAACAAGTAGAAACACGTATACGTTCACTGACACGTATTGTACTTCGATTTTCGATTGGAATTATCTGTTGGCTTGATGAAAACACATTGCCGACATTTCTAAAGTAGCTATTTCACTTTATCGAATTTTGATTTATATTTTCATTTGTTTCTAACATTTAGTGTGCTTTTTTTTTTGCATTCAAAATTAACCTATAATGTAATCTCTTTATGCTTTATAACCTTGTTTCAGGGAGAGAGGAATAGATACCACTTTGCCGCTTTATCAGACTATTTTGTTAAATGATGAAACTCATACTTTTGACTCAGTCAGTTTTTTTTTTTTTTTCTTTTTTGATTCTAGTTCATTTAATTTAATCCTCTTAATGTTATTCCTAGAAGAGATTATTGTAGCATTTGTACCTTTCATCACAATGGA